AAAGAACCCAGAAGATATGCCCTCTAAATAATAGAAAATAAAGATGGCTAGTATTTTGAAGTTAACATTATTTTCATGTTTAACTATGACATGTTCATGAAAATAAAGACACTATTATAGGTCAAAAAGGTTTTTTTGCTGCTTCCTTTTCTTATCATTAACATTTCATTATCATCAACATTTCATTAACAATCCAAACACCAACAAAATAATAAATGTGTAAGTAACATGTTCAGGAATACCAAATATTGCCCATTCTATCCCCAGAAGGTGAACTAAGACATATTAAATCTGGACAAGTTATTATTATTTATATTTTTATGTTTATATATTTAATACATTATAATGCACTCAAAAGACAGTTTCTGGCCTAGGGACAGTTCATAAAAAATTTACACATATAGGCTGCATTCATTTTACAAATATTTGTCCAAGAACTTATGATTTTTAGATACCTTAAAGCAAAGGCAGGTAACCATTTAAAGCAAATTATTGGTTGGGCTTCTCAGAACTTCAGCCAGATGAGTGATGATGCTCATTTCCAGGAACCTCACAGCCCCAGGTTAATGAATACAGTTCATAATAAGACTTGCAGAAGAGTTTTGATGTGGTATGGGGTTGATGAATTGCTCATTGAGCTTTTACACTGATCTTTATCAGGCTATCGAGTGAAGATTCTACCTCTCTTAGGACTGAGAGGAGTGATTGCCCCATGAATGAACAGTCTTTAGAGCGGCCCCAGGGTGTCTGCTGTCTTTTGTTCTTTCTTTGGGTTCCTACTCGGCCTAGGTATGATAGAAACATTTCTACGTTATTTGTCAAAATTTTCACTTCTGGAAGATGGGAGTGAATTATTTCCTGTCTAGTCCCCAAAGTACAACTAGGGACAATCAGCTTTTTTTTTTTTTTTTTCCTGCTCAGCTTTAGAAAGGATAAAACAGAAGCCCTACTGCATCCCCACCCAACCAACACCACTGTCAGTACCATCACCATGCTTATGTGCCTTTTATTTCAACTAAACCAGAATTTACTGAGTATCTCTATGTGCCATGTATGAGTGGGGAACTGCCTTCTCTGGTCTGTGACCCAGGGCTGGGTTTCTGCAAGCTGTGGAGTAGGAAGATTGAACATATTACCAGTCTAAAAGCGCTTCTTCATAACAGTTATTAGGAGACTTGCTCAAACTGACCAAAAACTCCACTGCTCCTTCCTTGAAAACTTAATTCTTTCTCCAATAGGTGAAGGATCAAGAGGTACAAGGAAAAAAGGTCATTGTCTCCTAAGTCTCATATCCTTACTGGGTAGATACTTTCCATTTTCGAGGGAGAGCTAAGAATAGAAATGATAAGTAATGCCATGGTTTAGATTAGAAATTCCCCTGCCTTACTAAATATAAGGATTTCTCTATGATAGTCACATTTACACTGACCCGTCAAAATGCTAGTACATGTATTTTTAATATTCATTCACTAGGAAAATTGGAAATGGTAATGATTACATAGTTACGGTACTGTGTTCCTGCAGATTCCAGGTTAAGAACCTATAATATAGGAAATGCTTGTTATGGGCCAGCAGGTAGCATGGAGGTTAAGGCAGCTGGATTCCATATGGCTGACCATACAGTTCAAGTCTCAGACCCAGCAGCTTGAAAATACGCTGGGTGCATGTGTGTTCATGCCAAAAATCCCAATAGGAAAATGGAGTAGAAGGGACTGTGGCATGGCCATCTCTCTTGGGGGGTGATTTTTCACTTTGCATCTCTCTCTAGCAATTGTATGTGTGGCAAAAAAAAAAAAAAAAAAAAAACTAAAAAAATGCCTGCTGTATTCAAAAGTTTCTTGGAATAAAAACATTAAATCCTCTATATTTCCACATGACCTCTGCCAGGAAACACTGGAATAGATGGTTCAATCAAATTAGTTTTATCATTGCTATCATCAAAGCACAGCATCCAAAGGGAAGTCAACTTTCAGTGCCAGGTTCCACCTGAGATCTTTCATATTCTTCTTAGAATTAAAAATAATAGTAATAAAATTATGGAAAAACTGGGATCCCCCAGCATGGTGGAGTAAGAAAGTCGACAAATCTTTATCCCAAAAAAGTATTTATAGAACTGGCTAAAATGTTCAAAAAGCATTACAGGGCCATGAAAATTGACTAAAACTTACTGCAAACAAAGAAGCAATTTGTTCATGATAAACTTCTCAAAAACACTATATCAAGTGAAAGAAGCTAGATGCAAAAGACTACATGTTAAATTATTTTACTGATGTCCTTTTGGCCGGAACCACCATTTTCCAGTAATTAACCAAAATGACGAACACAAAGGGAAAAAGAAGAGGCACCCGATATATGTTCACTAAGACTTTTAGAAAACATAGAGTGGTGGGACCAGCAGTTAGCGTAATGGCTATGTTGCTGGACTCCCATGTAATCATCCGCGGTTCGGGTCCCAGACCCAGTGGCTTAAACTCACACTGGGAGCGTGTGCGTGCGTGCCCAAGA